TTTCTCCTCTTCAGACAAATCCTAACTTATTCGTACCTTATTGTTATCCTTATTGTTTAGAACACTGAACGATAGAAACGTTTAAATTAAAACGTGAGAATTGTTCCAATGACTAAACACTATCGCAATTATGATAACAAAGTTGTTAATAAACAGTGTAAAAATGTATTCTTTTTTTTCTGTTTAAAAATTAATTCGATTTATTTTATTATTTATCCAATCATCAGTCTCCGTTTTACCTATCACTACAACTCGATTGTTCTCTTTATTCAATTATTTCTCACACGGTTTTCTCGAGTTTTCCACTAGACTGCCACTTTCATTGTCATCGTTGACCCGTAATTCTAGAAACCTGTCACTGACACAGCAGAATGAAAGAGAAAGAGAACATATACACACACACAGCAGCAGCAGTAGCAACAGCAGCAGCTTTATTCGATAATATATTTTTCCTAGACCCACAATTGCCAAAGCAGTATCCTACTTTTTTACTGTCGCAATCGATGTTGTGTTGTCGTTGAAGGTAAAGAAAAAGTAAGATAAAAAAAAAGGTAAGGGGATAGAAGAAAACGGGAGGGGAGGGGAGGTTGCGATCGGAGGTAAAAAAAAAAAGAGGAAGAAAAGAAATATATCAACTTGATTTATGGCATTTCTAAACGTAAAATCTTTTTCACAAAATTACATTTACGAAAGGAAGAAAATGTGATGATCTTCTACCCATGTGTTTCCATATTAAACAACAATACTTCAGAGGTATACAAATTGTTCCGAGTTATAATTGACGACAACGAAGATTGCATACATATTAACTACTCGTCGAAAGGGCTTGTAAAATCGTGATTCGACGATTTGTGCTGCTTTATTACCCCCAAACCTACCCCCATTCTTCCTCCTCCTCCTTTTCTCTTTCTATGTTTATGTATGTGCATGTATGTACGTATATATCTATTTGTTTCGTTTTATACGTGTTTCTCAGCGTTCGCCTTTGTCCCTTTTATCTGGCTCAAACTATCGGGGGAACTATAAATTTAGAGCTTGCTATTTGGTAAGACCACCCCTGGGTGCCACTATTACGTATGTATATCCTCCCTCTCTTTCTCTCTCGTTCTCTCTTTGCAAATATATTGCTAACGTTTTTATCATTACGTCCAGACAATCCCCCCCCTTTTCACTCCAACAAACTCATTTACGAGTTAACCTGATATAGGTGGTACGTCGTACTGTGTATCACCTCGTTAATAGAGGATTTTAAGCTACTTCAACTTACACTCATTAACTTTCCTATCTTCTTTCTTTTTTATCTTCTTTTTTTTTAACGAACGTTAACCCATTTGCAACTCTATATCTTTCATTAGACCTTGTTACATCTCGAAATGTAAACCAAAATGATGATCATTAAAAGATAGAAAATAGTTTGTAATGATATGATCATGTTGCGTTTCATTATAGAACGAAGTAAGTAGTAACAGTCCAGTATTAGTCAGACAATTTCAAAGATTGCAAAGTCAATATCTTAAGAATTATTACACTATGCGTATTCTGAATTATCTAACATTTATTATTTGCAATAATTTCATGTATTTTAATGATCATTAAAAGAGAGAAAATAGTTTGTAATGATATGATCATGTTGCGTTTCATTATAGAACGAAGTAAGTAGTAACAGTCCAGCATTAGTCAGACAATTTCAAAGATTGCAAAGTCAATACTTTAAAATTTATTGTACTACGTGTATTCTGAATTATTATTATTTGCAATAATTTAATGTAATTTATGTAGAAATACTATAAAAATAATATTTTAAAATACGTTCGCGTTATACAATTAGCCTATTAAAGAAAAGAAAAATGTATCATTAAGTATAATTTTAATTTTCTAAAGAATATATATACTTGATATTCAATTTAACGTTAAATGTAGTAGAAAATTTGTGTAAGAATAAGAAAATGTGCTCACTTTTCTCGATTTCATTTATTCAATTGTTTTTCTCCCCTTATCTTTTTCTATTTTACTGTATTCTCTCATTGGAGGAGTATTTTTCGTTGTAAGAAAAAAGAAAGAATAAGATCAACCCTCTCCCTCTCTCTTTTTATCTCGTTCCATTCTCTTTTCGCTATCAACATTGTTCCACCTATCCTCTTAAATGTACACTCACTTACCTTTCTTCTAACTCTTCTACTATCCACACTCTTTTCTCTCAAGGGAGTCGGAGATCTTTACTTTACTAACTTCTAGCCACGACCTCGTTCGCGAAAACACCTTTGCCAATCGTTAAATAAAGTTACGTCATTCATGAAATTAAATAGAAAACTTCAAGTAAGAACTTCAGATATTATTCTAACGAGCCATTTTGTGTATATATATTTCTTTATCTAACAACTAGTTATCCCCTTTATCATACCTTCCCTTTTTTTTTACCCCCGTGTCTTTAGATATTTTCTCTTTTTATATATACACACAATCTCTTCTCGTTTCGATTAAGGTTTCATTGAATAGAACGGAAAATTGTGTTAATTTGCTAAAATGAGGATACGAAACAAAATATCGTTTATATCAATAAAAAAAATTAAAATTAAATCTAACTAAAGTAAACACAATACACACATCTATCTTTCTTCATCTTTATATATTTATAGAAATGATAATAGAAATAGGGAAAAATTTAGAAACAAATGGCAAAAATGATGACTAGCAATCACGAAACTTATTTCGAACGAACTATAATAATCGCTGTATATAAAACGAAATGTTCCAAAACGTATGACGCTAACCGAGCAGATAATTATACCCAGAGAGTAATATTCCCAGTCTTTTTTTTTCTTCACGGTCAAAATGGTAAAAAGAGAGAAAAATATATGTAATGGGTAGGTACCGAGTTCACCAAAGAAAAAGGAAAAAAGAAGAAAAAAATATGACGATTAACTTGCTCGTAAATCTTCGTCTACGTTTATCTCGCCGTTTAACCACCACCCACCTACTAAGGGGTATTTCAAAATTTCCTTCCGCTGTCGTAACCACAGCCGGAAGTGATAGCGGGTGGTGAAAGAGAAGGAGGCAAAACAATAGAAGGAGGAAGCTGGAAAGTTAGGTTTACGGTAGAGAGAACGATCGAACCGTAATCGTGATTAAGTAGTATAAACCAAAATAACACTATGCATCTAGTAAAACATATTTATAATTAATACGAACAAGGTGTGGTAGTACTTATACGATCAAACATTTTTTTCTAAAGACGAACGTATGTTTCTACGAATAACGAATACTCTCATATTTCTTATTTACTATAATAATATCCATAATTATAAATTAAAATTGTACAGACAAATGCAGGAAAAAAAAATAAATATATAATAGGAAGAATATGAATTAAAAAGATGTGAAATTTAGAATTCTCGTGAGGAGTAGATACTTAACACGTTCATCTAAAAAGTACCATCTATAATCATGAGACTTAATCTTTCCTGACGGGTTAGGAACGATAAGCGATTACCGATGAGAGTGTCGGCACTGTTATTGAACCCGACTTAAGTTAATCCGTATTAAGCTTCGATCAACGATTCTTAGCCAAATAAAACTATCAAGACAAACTACGTAACTAGAAATATGGTAATAGTAAAAGGTACTTGCCAAAACTTGAAATCAAATAAAGAAAATATAAAAGGTCAAGAAATGAAAGAATAAAATGCGATCAATTTGTGACCGATTTCATACGAACAAATATTTTATTATCCAAATGAAATCAGTATATCAATGTATGGAATGTAATAATCGTCGTGTAAACGTTTCCATTGGTGTACATGTATATTCAATATTTAGCATGTATGTATGTATATATTTTCATATACGCGTATATGATGAATGTCCGCGTGAAACCGACATTACTCTTTCTCTATCTTTTTGTCTTTTTATTTCTACTTCTATCTCTCTCTCTCTTCCTAACTTTTTTCTCTTGATGCCAGAGTGTCACATGACATTACAATACTTAAGGCACCTTTTTGTCGTTGTAATTAAGCACCACGATAGGGTATAATGGAAAGACGCGACAAAGGGAAAAGCATGCACACACATATACACGCACACACACTTTTCGCCCTTGTTTCACCAAGCGAGCACGTAGATTTTACTCGTTGCATACAAAAGGATATCCCTTTTCGGACATTTACTTACCACCAAGGATAGTGGATTAGAGAGAAACCTTTCGCGAATTTTGTCGGATGACGACGCGCGAACTTTCGTCGAGAGTTTTATCGGACAACCGACGTTCCCAATTTCTCTGCTTCTATTTTCTACTATTTCATTTCTGTACCTTTTCTTTAACAACCTGTTCCTATTTCTTTCTTTCATACATATAAACTTTTATTTATTTTCTTTTCTTTTTTTTTTTTATCAAATATAATTCGTAACTGTGTATGTAATTTTAATAAAAACGATTGATACGACTATGATTTAAAAATCAAATAAAATTTATATAAAAAATAAAAGTTCACTTATATAGGCGATCGGTAGGTACTACTATCATCTTTTTTTTTGCTCCTCTTTTTCTTTAGACCTATCCATTTACAAAATTATCGTTGGCAAAGTGCACTCTCGTATTCGATCCGCGTTACGTAATTCCGTAGACGAATCGTATGTCCCTACGTGATCAATTTTGATATTCGATGACGTCACTACTAGAATAATATCGAGAGAGGTATATAGATGTGTTTGGTGTGAGTAACGGGAATGATTGGAAGAAGATGATATAAATAGGGATCGATGGTGACGATCAAATGCAATATCAGTTAGAAGATTGACAATATATCGAAAGTGTTTGTTGTCTTTTTTTTTCTTCTTCTACTTTTCTACTCTTTTTACTTCTTTGATATATATATATAAAGTGAATCAACCGGAACCAAAAAAATGGTCATCGGATAAATAACTCGTATCAAGTAAATAAGAAAAGAAAGATATTTCGATTGGAAAAGAAATATAATATATATCGTAAAGTAGGTATCACTCACCTTTAAGGGCAGTTTCCAAACCACGTAACCTGCCAACGATCGGTGCTTGCTGAGCCTTATACTTCATCGCTTCTTCTTCGGACTGTTCGCTCAAAGCACGTTCCATTGCTCTGATCATTTCTTTTTCTTTAACCGAAAGTGCCTCTCTCAAATGATCTACATGAATCTGCGAATGTAACTTCAATTGTCTTCTTAACTCCTCGTCGAACTTTTGTTGTTCCATTAGTAACTGAAAAAAAAAAAGATATTGATCAGTTTAGATCTGACATTTCTTTCTATATAATTAGTTTGATTTTAACTTAAGTGATAAAAATAATATAATACGTAATATGTTATATATTCAACTTCTCAAACTTCAATGATAATCATGAAAGATGGTTTTTAAAAGATTCGGTTCGTAAGACATGGAAAGCGCAAAAGAAAACGACCTACCGACAACGTCTTTAAACATACACTCACATACACATGTATATATATATATACAGAGAGAAGAACTAAAGTATGCCAGTCAAGTGTCGAAGCATTAGCGTAATGAGACTTTGATTAATTACCCGCACTTAAGGCTTAGCAGAAAGCGCCCTGATTGGGAAGTGACCCAAGTCCCGAAGGTCTGATCTGTCTGCCCAGTATCTCAACCCCTCTAACTCTCTCTCATATACATATATACATACATACACGCATACATTCTACGATTACCTACTTTCACGAATCTCCAACTCTCTTGGAGTTGTCTCTCTATCACTCAGGACATGTCGTCTTCTGCCTGACGTATTTTGTATGTGTTCAACGCCTACAGATCCTTGTTCCTGAATCCAGGACTTGGAAGCATGCGAGAGCCCCACTAGCACTTCGCCACTATGTTGAGAGACGTTGTGTCAATAATTAACGCACCACTGATCCGACAAACCCGAGTTTGTGTGTAACCGAGTGAACTATGCTTCTCTAGCTAGACAAAGATAAAGAGATAAAAAGAGAAAGAGAGAAAATTCATGGAACTTTCTTCTTTAACCGTCGATCCATCCAATGGTTCAAACGAAAGGAAAGAAAAAGAAATAAAATTCAACAGCTCTGCTCTGCTCTATTCTGTTCTCTTCTGTACTGTACTGTCTCTCTATCTTTCTTTCKTTCTCATCGAACATCTATTATACTATATATACAACGTTAACGTTTCATCCTAAATCCCTACGGACGAGAGAACGCGAAAACGTGTGGTGCCAAGTCTCATACCTTTTGCAATTTTAACGCGATAATTTATAATCCTTATGTGCTTTAAACTCGCGGTTACGAGAAGAACCCGCGGTTAATCTTAAATATTTCCTTACAAGTAGGATTCTTGGATTATTCCAATATTTAAGATCGCTGACCTTCGTCTAATTCTTCAGTGTTTTCTCACTTGATAAGTAATGTAAGAAATAATTTATTGATGGAATTCAATTTGGAAGGTAAAACCGGAGGACAAATATAAGTTGGTAGTTACATATTTAATAAACTTTTATAGCTTAAAGAATATTTGAGGAGGATCATTTTTGAAAATTAAATAAATTACAGAAAATTGATCGCGTTCATTATTTTGTTCATATTTTTTTATTTTAGTTTTTGAATAAAATTGAATGCGATATAATATTAAAAATATCATAAACCAAATGAAATTGTTTTTCATTTGATATGAACATAATAAATAATTTTTCTTCCCTCCGGGCGAAAAGCGTCAACTTTTCTCCCGCTGTTCAAAACGAAGTTGCCGCTTTCCGCCTACGTCGAGCAGAAAAAATGTATACTCACCATGGACAGTAAATAAAAAAGCCTCAGAGTGGTATATACTAATCTTGACTAGTAAATTGTTAAACAGTGCATATTATATAACATAAATAAGGAAAATGTTATTAGACTAACATATTATTTCTGTTTAAATCGATCGTTTAAAGTGGTTAGCCTTGCGGTCAAACGATTCACATTTCCTTCTCTTTTAGCGATTTCGTTCCTAGAGAATAGAAACTATTTCGGGATGTTTCATCAAGCGTATCGGTCCAGTGGATATTGGATTTGGCGAGAACGAAGTTCCAGCGCGTGCTCGAATATCGTAATTTTTCAAGATGTCGATCGCTAACAATCGATTTTCATCACAAAAGCGATGTGCCCCATTCGAGCAAAATACCAAGCATTCGATATCCGAAAAATAATATTGTATTATCGACCGTTGTCGATGACGATACACACACACATACGTGTTTATATCATCCGTTATACTTCCTGCATGTTCTCGAAAAAAAGAAACGAATAACTTTTTTAAACGTTTTCCGAAGATATAGAAAAACCAAAAAAAAATGTATACATGAAAAACACACGAACAATAAAAGATACGAAAAAGTTAACTTGCGATTTTTCCACAAAATTTTTCTTCCATCCAACCTTTATCGATTTGATTGGTAAAGTTTAATAAGATAATCTAAAATTGTGACTCATCGTTTAAATGTATATATATATGTGTGTGTGTGTATCTTGGTATACGACAAATAATATCAGGCATTGTGTGTAGTATCGACGAAATCGTTTTTCGTTCGGTCGAAAAATTACGTCTCACATCAGTTTTGCTTCGGGACAAAGTTCGAAACGATTTCTTGCTTTCAGATTAATCTACGTTACTCGTTCCCAGTATCGGATAACGATCGTTTAGGTTCAACCTCGTAACCTAAAGCTATAAAGCACAAAAATCGAAAAGCACCAGACAAAAAAAAGTAAAGAAACAAAAATTAGAACGCGAGACTATTAAAACCTTCAAATAAAAAAACGTTTTCTTGATACAAGTTCTAGTTATAAAAAAAAAGTGGTGTCTGTTCTTATATAAAATAGTTAACATTTAATAATCTAACAATTTCACGCGAGAAATTTAATTTTGTTATAAAGTAAGAATTACTTCCAAAATTTAATATAAAATTTACTGTTTACCATAGCATCTACTTCGATAGAAAATAAAAAAGAAGAACATATTATAATAGTTTGTTAGAATGGCCATACAAGTAAATAGAAGTATAACTATCACGTATTCTATGATAATAAAAGAATAAAGTTTTTTTTTTTCGAATGACCGTATAGAAATAAATAAAAGCACGTAAAACCGATTCGTCGTTTATTGAGTCGATAAACTGTATAGTATCTATATCTTTAATACCTACAAAGAAACCTAAACGTGGAACCATTCGATGAGACCAAGTTTGTAGTAAAAAGTTCGAAAAGCTCAGACCGGATAAGAAACTCAGAAGTTTTTCGAGTCCATCCGAAGAAGCGTGGAATAACAAATCTTTATCTTTTCTTTCCTCTACCTTCTAAACCATCTTCATCTTCTTCTTTTTCTTCTTCTTCAACTTTGTCTTTATTTTACAGCTTTCTGTCCTTTTTCTGACTCTCTTACATAATTTCGTCTAACATCTTGTGCCACGTAAGCGCATAAATTTTCAAAACATCGCCAAGGGATCTGACGTCAGGACCTTTCGCTTGCAAATAAAATACGCTTGAGTTGGACGGACATCGAATCGATTACCCAAAACGATGTCGATCGATAGTTCTTTTTTTTCCTTTTTTTTTTATTTTCTTGACCCAAAAAATATAGCTCTACATTTATTTATTTATCAATTTTACGGAACCACTATTCATCGACTTATCTTTCCATTCGATCGAATTAAAAAAAAAAAAGGAGAGAAATAGAAGAAGGGTGAGAAATCGAGTGAAAGTACCCTTGAGATAAAAAGTATATCTAGGAGTTATTTATTCCAAACAGGAAGCTAAAATTACAAACTCGTAGGGGTAGAAAAACTCGTAGGAAGTGCGCTTCGTATTTTCCTTTTGACAAATATTAAACTAACATCGTAGTAAGTGAAAAATACACGATTAGAAAAAATAGGATAGTAAAGAAAAGAGAAGTAGGAAGGGGAGGAGGAGGAGTAATCTTTGAATCAAAAGAATACCAAAAAGGATTATCTACTGCTACTATGACTAAAAATAAATAATAGAAAGACGAAGAAGAAGAGATTTATATCTCCTAACACACATTCATCCCACATGTATAACACACACACACACAGAGACAGACAGACAGACAGACAGTATGGATTGCATAGTAGTGACGCAAAGTATGGAACGAATGGACAACAGTAAGTCATAGTGATTCTCTCGAAATTGGTATCTCGCCTAAACTATCCGTATAGACAGTAGGAATGTACCACGAGACTAGTCTAAAGAGATAATATTGCCTCCCGCGTTGCTGAAATATTGGCGGTATTCCAAATGGAAATAGATAAAAAGCCCGAAGGGAATAGTAGCCTACCTCACACAGTCTTTCATTCTCTAACACGACTATCACCATTCTCTCTCAACATTTTTCCAACTACCTTTTACGTTATTCGAGTCGATAGATACATATATACATATATTTTTAGATACATATAGAATCAAGAGACACAGGTAATATCTACGTAACACGTTAAAAATAGTGATTTTCCAATATTATTACTTCTCATCTATGACGATGATACCCTATACGATATTAAAATACGATGAAAAAAATACTTTCGATGATGTTATGATATCGATTCTTAAATAATTACCATTACTTTGTTTATTATTAAAAAAAATTTTTGATCAAGGATCAAAGCATCGTTGTTATCGATGCTTTTGAAAAACGTACATTGAAAAATTACTAAAATAAATTAATACTTGTTACTATTACTTGAATAAATTAATAAAAAATAAAGCTTACCTTTTTATTGAATTTTTCTTCGAGATCACGTTTTTCTTTTTCTATTTCTAGGGTCACTAATTCATTGATTTTTTCATCCGTGAAATCTTCCTTCGATGCTCTTAGGGCGGCTTTTACTCTGGCAGTATGAATTGTCTGTAATCAAAAATATACGTTAGTACGTTAATTTTAATCAAAATTTATATATATATATATATATATATATATATATATATATATATATATATTAGATTTTTATCATTATTCATAATTGTTAGATATTAACCTGTAGTTTTTCTAGTTCTTTTTGAAGATAAAGCATTGTATTGTACATGTGTAAAACGAAAAGATCAAACTGTTCTTCCTTGACAGAAAGTTTCTTTTCGTCAAGATTTATACTAGGAAATAAAATATATAATTCCTCGCTGAATTTCTCTCGAGCTGCTCTAACTTGTTTCCAATAACGTTCGGTAATGTTTCCTTGTTCCAATTCATTTTCAAATTTCTTTTTGACATCGTCGAGATCATCCAACAATTGTTTAACATTTCTTCTAGCTGCAGTTTTAACATGAGCCGGTGCATCGAGTTTTGGATCATCTATCGAATAATACATTTTTTTGAGCGAATCCAAAACTTTGGTAGCATGTTCCTCTGCCTCGTGCAACGCTTGCGTTCTTTTTTCTGTAGCTTCTTTTAATCTAAAATAAATTCTATTGATTAACAAACAAACGATATTCTGTTATTTATTTAATAATAATTTAAAATGATTAAAAATATACCTGTTCCAAATACTGGCAGGTGCGGACGAGTCAATACTTTCTACAACTTTAATTACATCATTATTATAATCCTTTAATGCACATATTGCTGTATTATAAGCAGCAATAGCTTTCGCTGCTGTTTGACCACAAGATTTTTCCAACTCGACAAGACTTTCTGGCATCAATTCTTTTGGAACTTCTTTAGATGGCGGTGTTGGCTTTTCGGTAACTGTATAGTAATAAGTAAATAGTTCAATTAATTATATTAATCAATTAATTGAAATAAGTTAATAATTAAGTAAATGAAATGAAGAATACAATAACATAATCAATAAAAAATAAAAATAAAAAAAAGCATACCGCCTTGAATATGTTCCTGTTTTTCTTTAGTTTCTTTGCTTACGCGAATTTCGGCAAAAGGTTCTTTAGCAGGTGGTTCCTTTTTGTTTACCAGTTCTACAAAAGCTGGTTTTGGTGCTATAGTATATATAGGAATTTGTTAAGTGTTAGTAAATCAAGTTTACGATACAAATAGCATAATAATTTTTTTACGACTAAAAATACTTTATGCGATACAATGTAGTAAAATGGGTAATATGAAAGATTGGTTGTGTAAATTAATTTATTACTGATATAGGGTCTTAAGCTCACGTTTATACTCTTCAAACTTCATGCAATCTAAGGAATTTTTATTAATCTGACCTGGTTCTTCTTTTTCCGATGAGCCTTTGTAGAAAACGGAAGTTATGTTTGATATTCTAAAAAAAAAAAAAAATGTATGAATATTATAATATGAGTTATAAGTTATTAAATTTAAGAAAGACATTTGTCGGCTTACTTCTGCTTCAGAGCATCTAAACGTGTGAGGATTAATTCCAAGTAATTGGAGTCCTCTTGAAAGATGATCCGTATTGTTTTGTCCGTTCCTGGTATCCATCCTTCTAATGTTGCTCGAAACTCTGGATTACTCTTCGCAAAAGCCAAAACACCTATGGTCCCGATAGTTAAGGCTCCTAAAGTAACCAACGTACCGGAACTTTTGCTCTTCTCACTTCCATCAAAAACAGATGTATAAACTTTATGTTGTAACTGAATAAAAATATATATCTCAAATCAGAATTGAATATAAACATATATTTGTAGCCATGCATTTTCTTGTAATTTTAATTAATAATTATTATACAAATTACTCATATAACATCTCATATGTAAAATAAAGATGTAATACGTCTATGTTTTAATTTCAGCATGCATAAAGTTTAAATACCTTCTTTTGGAATCGGTTGAGTACTTATGTCCAGAAAGTCTGGACGTAAGTCTGACATCTTTGCAAAACCTAGAAAAAAAGCTATATAATTATAATATGTTCTTTGATATTATATATCAATGAGAAAAGTATCTTCTTTTCTTCTGTTTTATGTCACTTTGATAAAAGCATTGAACTTACTTGAAACAAGATAACGAAATTAAACTTTTTATCTACGAATGGTAATCTGTTTGAAACATAACCTAACCTATGTATACAAAATGCTCTACATATTAATTGAATTACACGATTAAATAAAATGACATCAAAACAATGAAATAAAACGTAAGAAGAATTTATAGAAGAATTTCAATTAAAAAATGTTAAACAATTGTGACAGATTCTAACCAAACGTATATTTAAGAACTGTCATAACAAAAAATGAAAATCTTACCTTCCCTCCGGTTCACATTTGACACGAGTACGCGTTTCGTAGTACCTGGCAGTTAGATATAACCTAGAGCAGGCGTGTTTTTTTACCTGAAAGGTCAAGCGTACCAGTCAATGTTCTCGAAATTATGTAAGATTCCTAATTTTAAGCCATCTTGTCCCACGAGGCACGCAACCTTGATCTTATTCTCAAGAATAATCACTGACAACTCGCGTAATTGCTTTCCTTCACAATTTCGAAACAATGTGCATAAAATCTTTATGCTTTCCATCTTCGAAAAAGCGAACAAATTTGAGAAAAAAATAAAGAAAATTTCAATAGAAAATCAAGGAGTTGGGAAACGTTGTTTTTCGATCATACTCTTTCTCTCTCTCTCTCTCCATCTCTCTCTTTCTTTACCTATTCCCCTCATTCCTTCTGTCTCCATCTTTATCTTAACCACAAAAATCAAACTCTTACTCGATTGTTGTCAAATAAAGAAATCGTACGACAAGAAGACAATTTTTTTTGTAGCACTAACACTTTACATACCCCATTAAGACCGTTGCACGAAAATTTGAGTCCAATTCGAAACATCTTTTTCGGGTTGGCCGGTCAGGCAGCCGAAGGAAAAGAGGGAGCAACGGTACAAAACAGCTGGTCACCGAACGGAACTACGCGAAGAAAGATGTTGCGCGTTATTAGCGCTGCGGTTCGAGGTACGATTTATTAAAGATATTTCTTTCTTCATCGATAATATTTACTTTCATAACGATTTTCTCTTATACGTTATTGTTCTTAAGCATTACTTCAAACACCTACACTGTTTTCTAGATCAATATTTTTTCAATTTATTTTAGACTACTTTTTAGGTTAAGTTTATGAACGGACCGGAACGGTCCGAATGATCACATAACACATTCTTAACAGAAGGAACGATTCACTCGTATATTGTCTGTTTCTTTCTATCTCTTGTCTTTAATTTTTGTTTTCTTTTTCTTCTATTTTTAAATTTCATTCGAACGTCTTATTTTTCAATTATAATTTTATGTAAATTTTATATTATAAATTGTTATTTGTTTTTTATATTGTAGGTATCGTGTCACATGTCAATGTAAATAATGTTGGAACCCTTGTGTTCAAAGAATATCCAAAACTTATTACAAATGTTACTCAAATTCGAGGCTTCTCCCTTTTATCTACACAGTCATGGCTAAATAGAGATAGGATAAACGATAAATCATTAATTGGGTATATGATAAATATCTTTTAAATTAAAATCTTAACGCTAAATAATTTTTAAACAATTATGTTGTAAGATAATAATTTTTACAGTGCTGTAACACCGTATGGAAATATTTTATCATCCGTGCAAGATACAACAATTACACCAAAAAGGACTGTAATCAAGTTTTCTGCGAGGAAAGGAAAGAGAAAAACTGTCAAAACAGTTGTCAAACGGTTTTACAGGCTAAATTGGTAAAAAAATTAATTTTCAAATTGTCTAAAAAATATATACTTTTAAGATATTATTTATTGATGTTTTATGTTGATCGAATAACACAGTTTTAAGTAAAATTATGTTTAATGATATTTATTTTCATAGGGGTATATGGATACGAAGATATTGTGCGCATAACAAACATATGTGGAGAAAAACAGAAGGGAGAAAACGTAGATTACGTCAACATATTTTCACTAATTCTACACAGTCCTGGTTACTTGATACAATGGTAACAAAATATTGGAGACGACCATCATTTTATGTTGACGATCCCTATAATCCGTATCATCAAAGAGAAGAATTTGCATATACACGAAGAAAGCCTTTTGATTAAATTGTTTACTCTAAACTTACTTAATATTAGATGAATTTTAATTTATTCCATTCTATATAAAATATTGTAGAGAATATCTTACCCAAAAAACAAAACTAACATGAAAGAAAATCATCAAGTTATTTCTGTATTTAAAGAAAATATCAGATTTTTCAAAAAAAAAAAAAAAAGAAAAATTCCAAATATCAAAGATCTTATTTAAAAAAGAATTTCTTTATCAGCGCGAGATGGCGTTAGTAGGAAAAGTCCAATCCAATTTGTGAACTCTTACACTCTACCCAATTTTATAAGATTTTTTCTAAATTTTTGATTGGTCGCTTTTAATTAATACAATTCAATTATTTAATGCCTACTTTGATGGCATAAAAATTTAATAAAATTTCAAATATATAATAGAATATTATATCTCATTCCTAAAAATAAAAGACGCGAGAAAAATCAGATTCTTGAAGAAACAAAAATATGAATAAATGTTTCAACTTATGAAAAGTGTATTCTTTAGATGACGTAATTGTAAAAGACAAGTAGACCATAGAATATAAATGAGTATACTATTTAAAAAGAATAATAAAAGTAGTAAAAAGAAAAACAATAGGTCATTATCGTTAAATCAAGAAATTCTCGGAACATCCGTTAGAGGGACTTAAAACACAGCGTTACGCATTCTTCAGTCACCATCAGTCTCTCAAGACGAATGTATCGATCATTTATTATTACCATAATCGTACTTTTTTTTTTCTATTACATTTATCATAAAGCTGCTGTTCGAGATTAGTTATCTTAACACACCGATTGAGAAGTCTTGATTTATCAGGAAAGTTAAACGATAATAATAAAAGATAAAATTAAAATAATATTCTGAAAATAGACAAAAATGCCTTATCGTGGAAGGTTCCGATTACTTGGCAGAACTTTTCTGCTTTGGAGAAGTTCTTGCAACAGCGAGAAAGCAAAAGTCAATACGCATTTCATTGCAAATATTACCGCTGGTAGAAACTTCTCAGTGAATACTGCGCTCGATATGAGGTGAGTTAAATACACCCGGTCTCAGGGACGTAATCATTCAAGGGTTCTTGCATAAAAAATTACTTATGATTTTTTATTTACAAAAAAAATTTTCTGTTTTTTTTTTAAAGTAAACAGATATTACGTCATTTTATGCCATTTATTAATCGATTTTTAATCATGAAAGATCTATACTTAAGTATTTACTATAAGGTTAAATTGAAATTGACGTCATCGGTCATTTGATTCGATATTCGAACGTTTCTGTATCTATTTATTTCTTTTTTTCGTACGTCTTCCTTACGATCTGTTCATTTGGTATTCTGCCAATTTTTTGTAACATATTTTTCAGACCATTTGTACCATTTTCTTCTGCAACATTAATCTTTCTATTATTTTCATTCATATTAATTGACTACATACATTAACTTTATATCAATATTTTTTCAAACGACTATTGAATACTTTGTCATTAAAAATAAACTTGAAATTAAATCAACAAGTTATTCGAAGTATAACAAGTGACAATAAAAAAAAAAATAGAATAAATTAGATGAGAAACGATTTCAAGTGTTTTTTTTTTTTTTCCAATTAAATGTAAAATATTGTTTAAGAAAGTAAAATTTTAGAACGTGTACAAATATCCGTATGTAAATGTCATACATCATAATAAAAAAGCAACCGTAAAAAGAAACATGATATATAGATTTGAAAGTTATGTTCATAAAATTTACTAGTAAAACATGTTTGTGCGTAGTATCACCAAATATGTTTCCTAGTTTAAAAGATAAAAACAACATTGGAGAGTTCGAAACCGGTTTTAACAGCTCAAATTGTTTTTTTATTTGATTAATTTGGGTCATAGATTAAACACATGTTTAAAAAAATTGGATGATTATTTTGTTATTATAATTATTATTATTATTGTTATATTTCTCTTTTCGTTTTTTTTTTTTCATAATTATTTATCATTAAATACTTCAGTCGATAATTTGATTGTAAGTAACGATTTACAATCTACATATTTACGTAAAAACTTTGACCACATGCAATATCAGAAAAGGTAATTGCCGGTATGATTATAATAATCATATTCCTCTATTATGGTCGAAATGTAGATATAACAAGGACTGTCAACATGACATAATCATAAATTTGTTTTACAAAAATTATTCGTTTGACCTTGACAATTATGTAATCTTTCTATTGATTTTTTTTATAGACAATTTCGCAAATTATATGAAATGCCGATAACATTTATTCGATGTGTATTACGTTCAAACGACAATTTATTATCTCATAAATTTGTAAATGTCTATTAAAAAATTGATACAAGTGTTCGCGAAAAAAATCGTTTAAAATATCGAAAAAAATTTTTAATAATAAATATTTTCTTCTTATCATTGTTGACAACGAATGTGTTTAGGAAACGTACATAAATAAAATACACCTGTGGTTTTAACAATGACCTAATTTTTGAAATGTTGAGGTTAGTTGCGTGTCAATGCATCAACCATTTATCAAAAGATAGATATAACTTTTGTGGTTTCAATTTTACTAGCTTCGTCCCTGTAGAAACACTGCCACATGTAATTAACATATTTATATTTGCGTGCATATTTGTTAGTATCTATGAATTTGATCAATTTTTTGTATTAAAATAATATATAAATAATTTTTCAAAATTTATAATCAATTTAATGTATCACTTATATGTAGAAAAGAAATATTACTAGATGATAAAAAACATAAATTTAGAAAAAATCGATTAGTCCTTAAGATTAAGTACGATGTCAATTATTTTCTACACTTTTTAATGCATATCTACACAAATATATTTTGTAACGATAAATACAAATTCATTCGCTGTATATAATTGAAATTATTTAAAGAATATTAATTAAAATTTTTCCATAAAAAAAAAATAAATTAATTCTAATAACAATTTATTAAAATGTATCCAGATTTCAAATTATCATTCTAGATTCGTACAATTCACAAATAAAAATGGCGGACCCCAGCACTTGGGTGTTCAACTTAAAGAACGTGGAGATATTATAGCTGTGTCTGCAGTGGATTCTAGAATTCCAAATTCGTTAAAAAAATTCCTCGAGGGTGGTGACGATCTTCTAAAAAAAGCTAAAAGGTAATTAGATTGTATTTTTTATTATTTATCAAAATGCATCTTTTTATTTTAAATTAGTGATCAATGATATTATCGACGATCGATAATAAACAAGGTCAACCATAATCTCCATTAATAAATTTTTATGAATTCACAATAAAATAAAAAACAAATAAGATTATTTCAATATCCATGAAATGTTGTTGATCCTTTTCTAATAAAAAAAAAAAAATTTTTTTTTATAAATATTTACAAATTTTTATATGACAACAAAATTATTTATACAAGATCTTTAAATTAATAATTGAATTTTATACATTATAAATTTCAAATAATCTTTAAAGAAAATGGAAACAATAAGAAGATTAAGGAGATAAAGATAAGGCTAATAGCACTTATTGTAATATAATAAATGTGGAATTTATAATACGAGATAATTTATATAAGCGATCATAGAACTCCATATAGAAAAAAATAATGATCAATGATTTAATAGTCTTATTATCGTCTTATTTTTTTTTCTTTGAAAATAGATATTGATATAAATAGAAAATCGTTCTCACAGTTTAAAAATTTGTTTTGCCAGGGAAGACGATATCGATTTAAAGGCGGCCGTAGAGAGGTTGGTGGATTGCACGAAATTTAAATCCCGCTCATTTTGGATTTAAACATTCCTATTATTTCTGATTCTATTTTGTTATGTTTTTTTTTTCTTTTTCATTATTGAGAGACAATTAAATATCACAAGTGTCTAAACAATTTGTAATTATAATTGTCCCGACTTTGACCATGTTTACTCGTTGTTTTCTCTTTTCTTCTTACAATTAAAGGAAAAATAAAAGTAAAAGAAAAAGAGAAAGAAAATCTGAATTCTCTCTTATCAAATATCACATAAATTCACTATCATTATATCCTTATCACATCGTTTGGCTAACAACGAGATTTCAATCTTAAACAAACAACACATGTTTCGTATTACCACAGATTGCAACAGTATACACTGTATGGCTATGTTTGAAAGTGCAAAATACAATACCTTTCGCATTACCTTTTTTCTAATGCCTTTTCGTGCGTGACAACAATACTTACTTACTTTTTTTATTTATATTTTTCAGTCTTGAGAGTTTCTCTGTATGCTGCCATGTTAGAAATTAGTATGCAATTTGTTAATTCACATCGCCATTTCTATAAAAAACAATATTTTTTCTATTTAAACATATATACATGCATACATATATTTGTATACATTTATGTAAATAATATTTATATGTATGTAATTGTGCTATAATATTTAAACAGGATTGTAGCTGAAGGACGTAGCATAACACCGGCCGAAGATGTCAATTTTTTGGCACCAATTACACGCATGGACAAATTAGCATGCATTGGTTTAAATTACAGCGGACATTGTGAAGAACAAGGTGTACCCACACCAGAAAGTCCAGTAGTTTTCAGCAAATTTCCTAGTAACATCGTAGGACCAACTGACAATGTTATTTTACCTTCAATATCAGAGGTATGTATATTTATTAATTAATTAAAATAATTTTGCCCATATTTATGTTTATACATTTAAAGAAATCTACATTACCGACGTGTTTATTTGATTTATTTGAACCTTTTCATGTAATATGTTAAATAAGTTTTATTCGAATACATCAAAAACTATTTATGCTCAAATGAGATTGATGATTAACAAATTACAGTTCAAAGATCAGGTAACTCAAGTTTGTATTATCAATGACATTTAGACTCATTTTTTTAATCTACAAATAAATATTTATTTCTTGAAAGATGTTTGTTGAAAAATTAACATTTTCAATTTTATCCTTTTACCTATATAACTTTTAAATATACGGAATTCGTGAATTGCAAATTGTAAAAATATTTTTAG